AGAACTTGCTGGGAGGCCATCCATGGAGAGGTGCTATACCAGTAAGACTCAGTGGAGAACCACCCAAGGGAATGCCATACAACGTTAGCTGCCAAGCACAAGAGCTAGGAGCGTCCTGTAGGAGCTTGCAGAAGGGAGCGCAGCAGAACCAGGAAGAGAAGCTCCCTCCAGTGCCTCTCCAGAGCATTCTCCTGACAAAGGTGAACATTGTGCCAGCTGGCAGAGGGAAAGTGTTTACAAGAGGGTCTAGCATCATTGTTGCAGAACAGGCAATAAAGGGTAGATTTGGACCTGAGAGGTGATAAACTGATAACTGCCCCAGTTCCTGATACTCAGTTACAGAGGAAACAAAGGAGGGGAGCAGGAAAATGCAGAAGGAAAAGCAGAGACGATAGAGCAAGTATCTCCAAACTTTATGGTGCAATGCTTTGGAGCAGACATTGTCTGCCATGTCTCTGAACTTGGTCCAGATATATCTATACAGTTTTCATCACTACCCTTTAAAATATTAACTTTAAAAAATACTGATTAACTGCAGTTAAAAAGGTTAGGAGGCTTTTGCAGTCTAAGGGAAAGAAGACCACAGGGGTAGCAATGAAGGTGATGAAAAGTGTTGGGCACTGGGTATATTTTGAAACTAAAGCAGAGAACTTCCTGATGGATTGAATGTGGGGGATGAACAAAAGAAAAGTCAGGAATGACTAAGGATCTTGGCGTGAACAACTAGAAGGATGAAGCCAGAATTTCTGTTAACAAGATGAATAAGGATGCGGGGAGAACAGGCTTTGGAGACAGATCAGAAGTTCAAGTTTGGACATACTAAATTTCAAATATTGATTAGATATCCAAGTGGAAATGGTGAACAGGAAATTGAATGTCTGAGACTGGATTTTTTGAGCAATTGGACTTCAGATATAAATTTGGGAGTTGCCAGCATATGTAGATGACCTCCTAAAACTGGATAAAGAACATAACCTCCTAAAACTGGATAAAGAACATAAAGGGATTGAGTTATTAAATAATCTCCCAAAACATTCATTTTAATTCCATGATAGGGATATGGCATGATTTATTGTGTGACATTTAGATTTACCTCCCATTTTTTCACTATTCTGAAAAATTCTATGACAAAAAACATCTACATAGTTCCTAATGTTTCACTATTCTGAATAATACCATAATGAACAAAGATCCTTGCTTTGTGAGAAATTACCATTTTTGTGGGTCAAAGGCAAATGTAGACAACTTTACATGATTCAACCTAATATTTGCGATACTTCTTTTGGTTCTTTATCCTGATGTGTTATAATTTGATTAAAATAGATACTGTAACCTAGATGGAGCAATTAATCTCTGGGTTGCAAAATCTAAAAATAAATCACTCTAGTTAGAGCTACCCTGTAGGGCCAGATGTTTTCTAAACTCCAGTAAAACAATCCTGAGGTTTATCATTTACCTATCCATAACTTGTCTTCTTAAATGACCCCAAAACTTTTCCTGGGTTTCTCACATTAACATCCTATGCTTCAAAATACATGAAATAAAAACTGATGGAATCAATGAGAAAGAGACAAAGCCTCAAGTATAGTAGGAAAAGTACTCCTTTCTCAATAATTGAAAGAGTAAATAGACAGGAAATCAGTAGAGACATAGAGAACTTGGACAATACCGTCAACCAACTTGACCAGATTGACATAGAATATTTTCACCAACAACAAGATACAAATTCTTTCCAAGTACACAAAGAACACTTACCAAAACTGACAATATTTGGGGTCATAAAACGTGGATCAATAAATGTAAAAAGATTCAAGTCATGGGGCACCTGGGTGGCTCAGTCGTTAAGCGTCTGCCTTCAGCTCAGGTCGTGATCCCAGGGTCCTGGGATCGAGCCCCGCATCGGGCTCTCTGCTCGGCAGGAAGCCTGCTTCTCCCTCTCCCACTCCCTCTGCCTGTGTTCCCTCTCTCACTCTCTCTCTCTCTGTCAAATAAATAAATAAAATCTTTAAAAAAAAAAAAAAAAAGATTCAAGTCATGTAAAGTGTGTTCTCTGGCCAAGAGGGTCAAAAAATGAATCAAAAGTGAAAGCAAAAAGAGCATCTAAAGCAGCTCTTAAAGAGAGATTAATAGCACTGAACACCTACATTAGAAAAAGTTTTCAGGGGCTCAGGAGGTTAAGCATCCAACTCTTGATTTCAGCTCAGGTCATGATCTCGGGGTCATGAGATCAAGCCCTGTGTTGGGTTCTGTGCTGGGCGTGGAGCCTGCTTAAGATTCTCTTCCTCTCCCTCCACCCCTTCTCCATTTCTCTCTCTTACTCTCTCTCAAAAAAAAAAAAAGTTTTTCTATGATACATATGTAACAGATGTTACTATGTTCCATGTAATGTATGTTAACATGTTAATTAGAAACTGTTTAGAAACTAAAAAAAAAAACTAACAAAAAAGACAATAAAAAAGATTAGAGCAGAAATCAATGAATTAGAAAACAGAAAAAGAAAAAAGAAAGTCAGTGAAACCAGACGGTCATTCTTTGAGAAATCAATAAAATTGATAATCCTGTAGCCAGACTGATTAGACAAAAAAGAAACAAGACACAAATTGCCAATATCAGGAATGACAGAGTTGACATAAATACAGATCCTACAGATATTAAAAGAATCATAAGGGAATAACATGAACAACATTTTGGCAATAAATTCTACAACTTATATGAAAAGGATGTTTCTTGAAGACATCAACTACCAGGGGCGCCTGGGTGGCTCAGTCATTAAGCGTCTGCTTTCGGCTCAGGTCATGATCCCAGGTCCTGGGATCAAGCCCCGCATCGGGCTCCCCGCTCCGCGGGAAGCCTGCTTCTCCCTCTCCCACTCCCCCTGCTTGTGTTCCCTCTTTCGCTGTGTCTCTCTCTGTCAAATAAATAAATAAGATTTAAAAAAAAAAAAAAAAGACATCAACTACCAAAGTTCATTTGAGAAGAAATAGATAACCTGAATAGCCTATGTCTGTTAAAGAAACTGAATTCTTATTCCATTTGAATTGAATAGTTAACTTCTCACAAAGAAAACCCCAGGCCTAGATGACTGCAGTGGTGAATTCTATTAAGAATTTAAGAAAAAAGTAATGAAAATACTACACAAACTCTTCCAGAAAATTGACGAAGTGTGTGTTAATTTGCTAAAGCTTCTACAACAAAGTACCACAGACTAGGTGGCTTAAACAACAGACATTTATTTTCTCATAATTCTGGAGGCTACAAGTCTGAGATCAAAGTGTTAGGAGGGATTTCTTCTGAGGCCTGTCTCTTTGGCTTGTAGGTAATCTTCTCTCTGTATCTTCACCTTGTCTTTCCTCTGTGCATGTCTGTGTCCTAATTTCATCTTATAAGGACACCAGTTACATTGGATCACAGCCCACCTTAATGACCTCATTTTAACTTAATTACCTCTTTAAAGACCTTATCTCCAAATATAGTCACATTCCTAGGTACTAGTAGTGTCAGGGCTTCAATATATAAAATTTGAGAGGACACAGTTCAGCCCATAACAAGGTAATACTTCCCAACTCATTCCGTGAGCAAGCATTATCCTGATACTATTACCAAACAAAGAAATTACAAGAAAAAAAAATACAGACCAAAAACTCTCATGAACATAGATGTAAAAATTCTTAACAAAATGTTATCAATTCAAATCTGGTGATAAAAATATGTCATGACTAATTGGGCTTTATCAAGGAAAGCAAGGTATTTGTTATTCAAAAATTAAAAATCAAGCAATATAATTCACCACATTTACAGACCAAAAAATAAAAGCAAGTTATATGCTCATCTCAGTAGATGTAAAAAAATTTTTTGACAAATTCTAGCATTTATTCATGGTTTGGGAAAAAAATTAACTGAGCAAATTTCTTCACCTCAGATTTACTATTTTCATGGGTCAGAAAATGCTAATGGCCATCTACAAAACACCTATAGCTAAACATTATACTTTAATGGAGAGAGGCTGAGCACTTTCCACGTAGGATCAAAAACAAGGCAAAGATATCCAGTCTTAACACTTCTATTCAACACGGTACTAGTTTCTAGTCAGTGCAATAAGACAAGAAAAACAAAAAGCATCAAGATTGGAAAGTAAGAAGTAAAACTATCTATTTACAGATGACATGATTGCCCCTGTATGGAACTTACTAAAAAGTTACTAAAACTAAATGAGTACAGCAAGGTTGCAGGACACAAAGTTAATGTACAAAAGCCAGTTGTACTTCTATATGCAATAGCATTACAAATCTGAAATACTTGGGAATAAGTCTGACCAAAAAATGTGCAAGACCTACTCACTGAAAACTACTGAGGGAAATTAAGGAGGCCCTAAATATATGTTAAGATATGGTGTGGGAAAAAAAAAAAAGATAATTTTTTGTGTTTGTAGGTTAGAACAGTCAATATTATTAAGTCAGTTCTTCCCAATTTGATCTAGAGTCAAAGCAACCCCATCCAAAATCCTAAGTCTTTTTTTGTAGAAATTAACAAACTAATTCTAAAATTTATAATGAAAATGCAAAGAACCCAGAAGAGCCTAAATTACTTCGAAGAAAAGACACAAATTTGGAAGACTATATTAACTGATTTTAATACTTACAATAAAACTAGAGTAATTCAGTTGGGGGGAAATTGCGGTAGACAAATAGATCAATTGAACAGAATAGAAAGTTTGGTAACAGACCCACACATATAGGGCCAATTGCTTCAATGAAGTTGCAAGGACAATTAAATGGCAAAAAGAATAGCCTTTTCAGTGAATGTTCATATGCAAAAGAAACGAAGTTCGATCCACACCTTATACCATATACAAAAATTAACTCAAAATGCATCATAGAGTGTTCACAGCACTTTGCTTTCCTGCTGGTGTGCTCCTTCAGAGCTGAGTCATTGCTAATTCATGGAGCTTGAAGGACATATTGGCTTTTTTGTTTCAACAAAACTTGAAACTTGGAAACAAAATGGAAGAAAACAAACAAAGCAACAGTATGGTTAATGGTAATTTTGAAGAAGTTCCCAGCAAGGAGGTAACTGAGTTCAACCATCCACTGTACAGAGATACTACTTTGTTAAAAATTTAGTAGATCAACATCACCCAGGAAGGTTGCAGACTTGGGCTTCCGTGATGCCACACTTAGATGGATGCTAAAATTCCACAGTTGCCCTGAACATCTTGTTGGAATAGATATTATTGCTGCGAATTCCTTACAATGGGAAGGGACTAAGTTGACTCCAACAGTGGGGGATTATCTAGCTCCTCGGGACCTGGATTCGACTATAACCTTGTATCGTGCTTCTTCTGTACAGAAAGACTCTCGTTTGGGTGCCTGGGTGGCTCAGATGGTTAAGCGTCTGCCTTTGGCTCAGGTCATGATCCCAGGGTCCTGGGATCGAGTCCTGCATCGGGCTCCCTGCTCCTTGGAAGCCTGCTTCTCCCTCTGCCTCTCTCTCTCTCTCTGTCTCTCATGAATAAAATCTTACAAAAAAAAAAAAAGACTCGTTTGCTTGGATTTGACTTCACAACATGTACTGAATTGATAGAATACTTAGATTCTGAAGATCTGGCCAGTTTCCTGAAGTCATATTTGGGTACTTTTCTCTGGGTATGGTTGTCATCAGCACACCAAACTCTGAATTCAATCCCGTTTCCAGCATCAACCTTTAGAAATCCAGATCACAAATTTGAGTGAAACAGAATGCAGTTTCAGACGTGGGCTTTGGATGTGGCAAATCTCTACAATTACTACATCGAGTTTACTGGTATGGAGGCTCCACCAGCAGGAGCTGAACATGTTGGATACTGTACCCAGATAGGGCTCTTCCAGAAAAACATAGCAAAGGCAACTGAATCGTGCATTTCAGAGCCATAGGAACATGTTCATAAAGCTGTTTTTACAACCTCATACCAGAGTTTACAGCAAAAAGAATACCTCCTGCTTGTTCTGAGTGCCCAGGTGTTAAAAGCAGTCGACTCCATGAAAGTCAGGTTTCTCCTGGATCCGAAGAAAAGCGCAGTAGAGTGGTTCCAGAAGGCAGTTGCATCCAACGGCATGGATCAACCCTCACAGAAGCTCAAGGAGCCCAAACAGAGCAGTCCCCCAAACCTTACAGTATGGGAAAGGTTTTTGTTCCCCTGGAAAGACTCACTGCTTATCCGATGGTGAACCACTTGGTGGACAGTGTGGAGAAGCTGAGAACATTGCTTGCTGAAGCAATTCAACTAAACAGATCAAACTGCGGTGCAGGCAGACTTGATTGATTACCATACACAAAATCTCCTTGAGTCTTCATGATAGGCTCATTTAGACAACTTTGTGTCGTCATAAGTTAGGCAACTTAGTTTTGAATTTCTCTAACCTTGTTCTTGTTTTTCATATGCTTTTTGCAGGGTGGTGGAGGGTTCATAATGTGCTTGTTCATGTTTCTGTTAGTCCCATGTTGAATGTGACTTTAAAAAAATTTTAAAGCAAATTGGATTATCAAATAAACCTTTTCCCAGGGTGGGGAAATGCATCATAGATATAAATGTAAATCCTAAAATTGTAAAACTTGAAAACAAAGGTAAATGGCCTGGGGTGAGGCAAAGATTTCTTAGATATGACAACAAAAGACATAGTCCATAAAAGAAAAAAAGTGATAAACTGGACTTCATAAAAATTAAGACTGTATGCTCTTCTTTTTTTCAAGTTGGAGATATTTATTAATCAGTGTAAAACTCCAACATAGCACATCAACATGACTTTGAGCATTCAGAGGGGAAATAGTTCTTGGTTAAGCAGAAAACTGTACAAATGACTTCTGAAGACCTTCATTCTAAGCAGTTTTATAGTCAAACATTTCAGTTAGAAGTCTGAACCCTCTTTCTTCAGTTTGCTGTAATCTACATTCACTGAGTAGAACTTGCATTGATCATTAGGACACACTTTACTCTGGGTTCTGGGTTACTCTCTTCATCCCAACAGATATTTGGATGGAACAATGCCAGACACAAGACATACACTGCTTCTCCAGTACCTCCAGCTCCCATAAATATGAAGAGAGAAATCAGGCTTGAATGTTTTCTTGGCCTAACCAAGGACCTAGGGGAGCATATTTGTGGCAAAGGCCTCGGGTGTGAAAGGAGAGGAGACTAAGGCCAGGCCTGGGACTAAGTAGTCTCTGCCAAAAAATATACTCTTTGAAAGATACTATTAGGAGAGTGCAAAGATAAGCCACAGACTGGGAGAAAATATTAGCAAATCACATATCTGATAAAGAACTTGTATGCAGGGCGCCTGGGTGGCTCAGATGGTTGAGCGTCTGACTTCGGCTCAGGTCGTGATCCCAGGGTCCTGGGATCGAGTCCCGCATCGGGCTCCCTGCTCCGCGGGGAGCCTGCTTCTCCCTCTGCTTCTCTCTCTCTCATGAATAAATAAATAAAATCTTAAAAAAAAAAAAAAAAGAACTTGTATGCAGTGTATATAAAAAACCCTCAAAAAGCAATAAGATAGGGACGCCTGGGTGGCTCAATCGGTTAAGCATCTGCCTTCGGCTCAGGTCATGGTCCCAGGATTCTGGGATCGAGTTCTGCGTAGGACTCCTTACTCAGCAGGGAGGCTGCCCCTCCCCCTGCTTGTGCTCTCTCTCTCTGGCAAATAAATAAATAAAATCTTTAAAAAAAAAAAAGCAGTAAGATAAACAGCCCAACAACAACAAGAAGGGGCAAATAATTTGAATGCACACTTAAACAAAGAAGATATGTGAATATCAAAAAGCACACAAAAAGATGTTTATCACCATTAGTTATCTCAGAAATGCAAATTAAAACTAAAATGAGATACTACTATACACCTCTGAGAATGGCTAAAATTGAAAGGACTGATTAGACCAAAAGTTGGTGAGGATGTAGAGCAACTGGAATTCTCATATACCGCAGATGGGAATGTAAAATGGGACAACCACTTTGGAAAACAGTTTAGCAGTTTCTTAAAAAATTGGACATATACCTATCATATGACTAAGCCATTCTATTCCTAGGTAATTAATTACCAAAGAGAAGTAAAAGCATATATCTATACAAATACTTGTACATGAATATTCATGATAGTCTTATTTGTAATAGCCAAAAACTGGTATTAACCCAACTGGTATCAACAGGTGAGTGGATAAACAATTGGTGATATATCCACACAATGGAATACTACTAGCAATAAAAAGGAATAAACTACAGACACATGCAACAACACAGATGAATCTCAAAGTAATTATTCTGAGTAAAAAAAGGCAAAAAATGAATACATACTATAGGATTACATTTTATAAAATCAAACAAAATGCAAATAATCTGCAGTGACAGAAGACAAATGGGTTGTTTGCTTGGACACGGGGGCTGCTAAATGGATGGGATGATAAAGAGGCACAAGGAAACTTTGGGGTGACAGATATATTCATAATCCAGATTGTGGTGATAGTTTCATAGGTATATACATGTGTCAAAACTTACCAAAACTGCACACTTTCGGTATGTGAAATTTGTTGAATGTCATTGATAGCTCAATAAAGGCTTTTTAAATCTAATTGAAAAGTTGAGAAAAGGGGTGCCTGGGTGGCTCAGTCAGTTCAGCAGCTACCTTTGGCTCAGGTCATGATTCCAGGGTCCTGGGATCAAGACCTGCATCGGGCTCCCTGCTCAGTAGGAAGCCTGGTTCTCCCTCTCACACTCCCTCTGCTTGTGTTCCCTCTCTGTCAAACAAATAAATAAAAAATTAGAAGAAAAAAAAACGAAAAATTGAGAATACATTGAAACTAAAATGGAAAAAAAAAGTAGGGGCAACCCAATAACTTGATTTACCCATCATTCCCTTCTACCTCATTCAATGGGCTTCTTAAGTTCATCACTTTGTTATCCACAAGCACTTCAGACATCTTAAGATGTTGTACTCTCTATGCCAAAGGCTGGAAGCAGGTCAGGTAAATCTGGACGAATCCAACAAGTGCCTAGTGTAAGGAAACACACGTGACTGCAGTCACACACTCCTTCAAAGAAGGCCAACTGGCATTTTAGCTTCTAGGTTTCCACACAGCATGCTGTTATGACTCTTTAAAGGCCTCCCCTTAAATTCTTGCCCGGTTGTGTCCCTCAATCTTAATGTATTTTATCATGATCCCCCACCCCCCCCGAAAGATCCACCTCAGACCAGGCTTCAAAAGTTCAGTAAATACCTAGACTTTGCCCTTTCCCCTCTGCCCTCTGATAGGCTCCTCAGGCTAGTCAAGTTAGTACTTTTCCTCACTGTGCAAGCAATAACCGGGTTGTCTTGATGATAATTCAGGAAGCCAGGATTCAACATTATTGATCATTCGTATTTTCTCTTCTAAATTATTTTAGTAATCTTTGCCCATTTCTTCATTTTAAATGTTTGCTTTTGGTTTCGATTTGTAGTTTGAAAACTTTTTTTTTTAAGATTTTATTTATTTACTTGACAGAGAGAGACACAACGAGAGAGGGAACACAAGCAGGGGGAGTGGCAGAGGGAGAAGCAGGCTTCCTGCTGAGCAGAGAGCCCGATGCAGGGCTCGATCCCAGGACCCTTGGATCATGACCTGAGCCGAAGGCAGACTCTTAACGACTGAGCCACCCAGGCGTCCCTAGTTTGGAAAACTTCTTAAAGCTATTCTTTGCACTATCTGATGTAAATATTTTCTCACTTTCCTTTTATCTTTTTGGTGGTTTGTTGTTGTTGCTGTTGCACAGAAATTTTTAGTTTTCACATGTTTAGAGTCATAAAAATAAATAAATAAAACAGCTTCCGGTGCTATACTGACTGGGTTCAAATGTCTACTGCTTACCTTACTAGCTGAGGATCCTTGTGTAACTCTCTGTGAACCCAGGTTCCTCATCCTGCCTCCCAGGGGGATGCAAGCTCCCTGAAAGGAGGTATTTCTGGCTGTTTTGCTAACTGCTGTATCCCCAGCTCTGGGGACAGTGCCTGATACATAATAAACGCTCAATAAATATTTACTAAATGAATGAATCTATGAAGTCAGAACAATCTTATTTACCTCATGGGACTGTTATAAGAATTAATTAATCCTCATGAATTTTAGTCTAGAACAGTGCCGGGCACACACTAAGAGTAGAAGGAACGGGAGCGCCTGGGTGGCTCAGTCGTTAAGCATCTGCCTTCGGCTCAGGTCATGATCCCAGGGTCCTGGGATCGAGCTCTGCGTCGGGCTCCCTGCTCCGCGGGGAGCCTGCTTCTCTCTCTCCCACTCCCCTTGCTTGTGTTCCCTCTCTCGCTGTGTCTGTCAACTGAATAAATAAAATCTTTGAAAATAAAAGAGTAGAAGGAATGTTCCCTCCCTCTCCCATCCCCCAAATCCTGCCTCTCTTAGAGAAGTTTCACCTGATCGTCTTCCCTCCCGCCCCCACCTCCCCTCAGGGAAGTCTTTCCCTTTCCTCGGCCCCCTCCTCCTCCCACAGGATTTGCACCATTGTTCCCTTTCAGGGTGGCTCACTTGTCACTGGAAGTTCTTAACCTTTGGGCATCTGGGAGCCCCTTTGAAAAACCAAGGAAATTTATGAACACTCTCCCCAGAAAAATGCACCTATGCGCAGACACACAGCCTTCTTCTTACAATAGGACGGAGCTCACAGAATCCGGCCACTAAACTGCCATTTTAGATCCCTGAATTAAGCGGACATGAATGTCAAAGACTACTGCTTCGGAGCAGCAAACCTTAACAGGTCACACCAAAGCAGACCTTTAGTGCGCGGGTCAGAGTCCACACCGGGAGTCCCGATGGGAGCTCCAGTGAGATGCAAATCGCTCTCCGCCTTTCCGGGCGAGGGCGCCTATTGTTCCTCGCCGACTGCATTTCAGAGCCGACCCCTCACCCTGGCGGGGGAGGGGCGCTGTGGGGACCAGGGCCGGGAGAAAGCGAGTTTCTAAGCGGAAGCAGGGGGGCTCCAGTAGATTCTAAGGTCATTTATAAACTGCGGCAACCGTCCCCCAGTGGGTAAGCAACAAACCCTAAGCACCATAATGCTCCCTGTTCCTGTCTTCGGCGATCGGAACGAGGGACAGGGTGGGAGACCGTCCCACTGCCCTTTCAGGAAGCGACGAAGACTGTCCTGTAAAAAGATGACGAGCCCAGGCCCAGGGACGAGCCACGTGACTCCGTCTAACTGCTGTAACCGTCCTAAGCCGTCGCGAGGAGCCGCGCAGACGTGCTACTTCGCGGTAGAGAAAGTGAGGTGACTCAGTCGCCTACACCAAGTGCTGCACCTAGAAGCGCCCATAGTTGGGAGCTG